AAACAAATTCTTTTACGATTCGATTTAGTTTCACATTCTTTAAATTACGTCATTTTAGGTTCAGTTCGAATTTTGAAATACCTGAACCATGTTCATCTTTGATTTGAGCCTATATATGCATTAACGACTTTTTATATTAAAATATACATACTTGACAAAAACTCAAACATTGCCTTCAGCCAACACATTATCATCAAGAGTTTTGGTGTAAGAATATTCTACTCTGCTGATTATAAACGAGATAGTCATCGCTATTAGGATTTTGTAAACCGTTTATTCATCGAACATAAAACAACATTCAACTTTACGAAAGAGTTTATTGCACTACATTGTGTTGATTCTTTAACATTGAGATTCATTCTATCCCATTCATAACTATAAGCACGGAGCCTCCAACATCATGAATCTTTCAGAAGAATCAGAGTGAACTTCTTTGCGTACCATTCAACTACTGCAAAAACGAAATAAGAGGATTTGTTTTGTCAATTAGTCTGAGTTGTTCTATTGACTCTATCTATGAAATGATTTTGTCTACAACGAGAGTTATAAGTTATAGCTGAAATCGGTTGTTTTTTATCTAATCTATGCCAGTCTCGATCAAGGTTAGTCTAACTAGAATAATAGATTAACAAGAGTCATTCTACGACATATCATGATAACTACAGTAGTAATTAGAAGATGTACAGATCTTTCATACGCTATATGATTGCCATTGCTGCGAATTTTTCAGCGCAGTCACGTGATATAGTAGAAGTACAAAGTCTTCATGAAAATTGATGTGAATGTGTAGCCATAATATATTTTTCATTTCGATCGGTAAAAGCTACTTTCCTATCACTAGAAAAAAAAATTATCAATTGATTAATTTTCAATGAATTAATAATAACTGAATGCATTCAACGAATATCCACTAGGATATTAGTAATAAATGTTCTGACGATTTCATTCATTTTATTTTCATATGAGATATGTGTAGTAGTTTTCTTGATTAACAATTCATAGGTATCCAATACTTTTTGTGCACTTTCACTGAGCCCCCACACCCACACCCCACACCCTTCCTTTTCTAACTATTTCTCTAACTAAGAAAATTACTAATCAGCTTGATCAAACTCAAAGCAAAGATACATTTTAGATAACATCTTATAACGCAATAGTCGTACAGAGCTTTTTGATTAAATTCTCCTCTTTTTTAAATCAAACATCTTCAAAACATGTCCTAATAAAATTATGTTTGTTTGTTCTTTCAAGAAAATAGAATTTATTGAATATAAAATATCCTATCAAAAATAACTTCAAACTCATTGTACTATTATTCAAAACAAAAAACTCGATTTTAACAAGTTTTAAAACACGTCTTATAGACAAAATAATGTTCGCAGAGAAATTTGACCTCAAAATGAGATTCTTTCAGTTAAATATTATTAACAAATAACGAGTTGTTCGATCAAACTAATCATAAAAGGAAATCTTTGACTCTCTTCTTTTTCTCTTTTAAAGTGAGAAGAGACTTTTATGAACACAATACCATTAAATAAGGAAATACTTTTGTTTCATACGATAGACAAGATTGTGAAATTTTTATTGATACCGATCAACTTTTGAGATAAAAATGCTGAAAGATATTAATTATAGTTGACATACAGAAATTTTGTTTTTGCCTGTTTCACTAGAGAAAAGTGTGTATCGTTGGCTATTTTTTGAGATATTCATATTAAAAAAAAGTTCAATAGTAAAATTTGCTTGATATATTTAAACATAGAAGACGTCAACAATTTTAAAGCAAGAAGCTCGAAAAATCTAAATTTCTGTATTTCATTTAAAATTGATATTTTTCAACATAATTTCTCAATATTATATGTATCAATCAAAATTTCATTGTTTTTTATCTATCCTATGACATAAAACTAGTTGATTGATTTTTAACATGTAAAAAGATTGCACAAATTTTCTTTTCGACGTGACTTTAGAAACATTCTTTATACACAAAGCATTCCACAAATGAATAATGTCAACAAATACATTACTAATACATCACTTTGATCACATTGATTATAAGACATGCTTGAATAGCAGTCGTAAAGATCAATTTGCATAGAAATATTTTTGTTTTCTATAAAGAGATACTAGTTTCCTTAGAAGTACGTCGAGGTCGCACTGTAAGAAAAAGACAAAAGTGGCGCGAGCAAGGGAGAAGGTATCCTCTCGTGCTTTAGATATTTGCGCTAGAGTTTTTCCTGATTTTATGATTCGAAAGAGTTTCGAGTATGTTTTCCTCTTGTTTTGAAAAATGCCTCGTCCTGTTTTAACCGCATTGCGCTGCCACTGGTGACATGCGTCTTTGCCAAACTTTATTCTATTTTCAAGATTCTATTGATCATTTTAACGAATTCATCGAATATACTTCAAAATCACTAAACACCTCCACACAATAAAAGATCTCGAGTCTCCTATTATGACCTCCTATTCACAAAGGATAAAATATCGTTATTACATTTCAGTTAGTTCACTATAATTTGGTTCCAATACAAAGTAAAAATTAAAAAGAAACAAAAAACTACAGTTGAATTTCACTATTTCATAAATTGAACTGTTCCATTTTGTGGTTGTTGATGATGGTTAACAAGCATGAGTTCCTTTCTTAACAACCATCGTTTTCTTTTCATTATATACTTTTTCTTTATTATCATCACCAGTATTGTCTTCGGATACCAATCGATAATATGTCGATAAACGTACTGATTCATTTTAACATTTATCAATGATCGAAGTAATTTCAGCATTTGAATCATCATTAAAACTGTTGCAATTATTAAAATTTGAATATTTATCCGTCAAAAACAAGTGTACGATGTTTTACCTCCATATTTTATATATTCGCTAAATATATATTACTGCTTACCCACAGAAAAATTTTTCAAGAAAAAACTGCGGTTTCATAAACCGCGGTCAGACGTGCAAAAACTCAGCTCGGACCGCGGTTTTCCCGGTTCTCACCGCGGTATTTGCAAACTGCGGTTTTCGCCGGTTTCAAAAACCGCATAAACGGTCTGACTTTCGCGGTTTTTCAAAATGCGGAATAAAACCGCGGTTTTTTTCGGAAGAATTTTTCCGTGGGTATACGAATGAAGTTCGGTATTAATTGTGCTCTCTTCCTCGCATCGTTTTTAGTTCTCTCTTTCTCTCTGGTTTTTATTTCAGGTAGTAAAGCTCTTTTCTTCTATTCTCCAATAAACCCGATTAAGCAATGTTTCAGCGGAAAAAAAAAGTTAAAAAGATTTTAGCGAAGGATTTTTCACAAGATCTGACTCTTCTATTACGAGAGAATCTTCTAATATGTAAGAGAGATGGAAGATAGAATTACCAGACAAGCAACAAATTTCAAGGGGGCCCTGTCTTTCCAGATCAAAAATTTTTAGATTTTTCATTTTTCTATTTTTTCTACTCTATATACGATTCGAGGTGTCCTCTATCAACTGAATCTATTTCAAGGATTAATGTATAACAATATAAACTAGAAAATATGAAATATTTTCGTTGAACAATATAAAAATTTAAACATTATTTCGCTCTTTTTGAAAAAAAAAAGAACTTTTTAATACAAGAAAAGTGAAATATTGACATCATTTCTCAGGTATAATATATTTGATCGAACTGAAACTTTCTTCCATTCATACTGCAAAGTGTTCATTGTGTTTAGGACATTTTTTGTTTCAAACTGTGATATATAGCTGATTTTTGCTAAGGTTTACAAAACAAAAGCTTCATTTTAAAAATAGCATGCACATTTGAGGATGTTCTCAGGATTTTGGTGTTTTTCATTGTATGAGAGAGATTTAAAAACAACTAAACAAAGGAGACGATAAAGAGAATCGTCTTTTTGCCATTGAGACCCAAATATTATTTAATTCTGATGAGCCATTCTCCAACAGCGCCGACAAGCGAAGAAAGTTTCTGTTAAAGTTAGGCTTTTCATCAAACATAAAGAATAAGCCAACAATTATTTTCATTGCATCTCATCGATCAGACTTTGATCGATGTATTTTATTATTTGAGACATGTTTCAGCTATTAAAAATTTTTATTATGAGAGAAAAAAATATGTCATATGAAATACTCTGACGTGCCTGTACGAAATATATGACCTGCTCAGTCATTTTTAATAAGTTGTTAGAATTCTTCAATAAATTGTACGTTCAAAGCTAAAATACTTTCTACTATTTTCTGTACATCCGTTTATAGACGATCATACATTAATTTTATTTTTTAGACAAATAATTCCATCAATTTCTAAATAATAACATAAAATAGTCAATTATTTCATCGGTAGAATTAGATAAGCAAAATTATATTGCATTTTCTTTATTATAATATAATATTATGAATTTAGTATTTCCTAGATAAAATAATTTCGATTAGAAATAAACAATAAACAATTTATAAGCTTGAAAGAAAATACCGACAATAAATAAGAATAATTTTTATCATTATTAATGGTGTTTTATAAAACAAAGTCATTTTTTTAAATGGAGCAAATAATGTCAATCATTTGACAATAAAAAAAAAGTATTGGTTAAATACAAAAGTATTACTCTTTCTTTCACTTTTAAACTAGAAGAAAAAAAAACAAAGAAAAGAAAACGACCATTCTGATAATATTTTGCATTTTCATTGTGCAGTATTAATAACAAAGCTATCCGTATTAGTTCTATTTATAAAATATCAAGTTTCTGATTGCCACTTACTCTCATTTATCTTTTTTTTTCTTCACATCATCATGAAAGCATATCTATTTTGTCTAGCATTCCTAGTATTCTGTAACGGTAGGCTTCAAATTAAGAATCCAATAAAAAAACTTTTGTTTTATTTTATAAGAAATTCATCGTCTCAGTGCATTGGAATGTTATTCATGCTTAAGTATAAGCACGAACACAACTGGTTGCGATGACAAATTCAATATTAATGAAACATTGATTTCGATAGTCGATATTCGAAATTCAGATGCAATTTGTACAGTATGTATTAAATTTCAATTGATTCGAAAAATAAAATATTCTACAAAACTTTATAATTAAAGAAAATGATTGGTAAACTCACTAATGGTATTAAATTTACTATTCGAAATGCAAGTTCTACTGGTTGTCCACAAGATTTAGAAAGTTCTGTTATTGTTGGAAATGATGATAATGCTCGAATTTCTGATCTTGAAATTTATTGTTGCAACAAAAGATTATGTAATCGAGCTATTAGTCGACAAGATATTCAATCGAATATGCTTATTTTAATTGTTTTCATAACTAATTCAATGTATCTTTTTCATGGATTTTCAAATAAGTGAACAGACAATCGAACATTCATTTCGCATATTTATTTATCAAAAAGAAAAAAAATTGTTTTTCATCGTATTTATGACTTAACAAGCTTCTCTATTTAGTTATTTAAATCAAGAAATTTATGTTTAAACATGTTAACCATAACATGATCATTATAAATAATTCTTCCTTTGAAATCTTCTTCTCTATATTCACTTTGATTGTATCATCAAAACCTTTTATTTGGCATATAACAAAAAAAACAAAGTATTTTTTTTTCAAGATCAAATTTAATACACAAATATTAAAATGCTAATCATCATTACAATATAAAAGTTGATGAGATTTATTCGAAAGAATGAATGAAACAATTTCACAAGCATCTAAATATTTTTCTTTGTATATGTTACTCATTTGATGTCTTATAATTTGTTTGTTGCACTGTCGAGCAGAGATAACGATTACTTAAGAGTACGTGCCCCACCCTGCATCTCTTGGCGTTTCTGCAGAACGAATCATCAGAAAAAATTGAAATTTTCACAGTAGTTAAATCTTGAACAGTAGAAGAAAAGTTGTACAAGGCGCAAAGTTTCCAAATATTGCCTTCTATTATATATTGAACTCGCAATTGGTCAAAATGAGTCCTCTTTTCGTTCTTCGTTTTTTCGAGATACTACGCTTGATTGAGTTTAAAATTTTTTCAAACGAACTGAACACTATTTAGGGTGGGTATTGTTTTTTTCTTATATTGTTTGTCCTTTCAATAAAAAAAAAACCAACGTACTAGACGTACCGTAAAAAAAAACTTGTCTTTTTCAGTAAGACAAAGTTTATGAAAGCTGCTAAAAATCACCAAAGCAACGGTTTTTCACATAAAAAAAGTATCCAAGCCAAAGAGTAATTAGTAGATATAAAAAAAAGTTCAAACTCGATGACTTTTAGAGTGTTCGATAAACGGCAGCGAAACAGTACTTTTCTTGTAAAGTGCAGAAAAAGCAAATTTCGAGTGGATTTTTTTCTCATTCTATTGTATATGATTTGATAAAGCTTGACGAACTAGTGCATTCATAATTATGAAGTCCCGTTTTTTTTCAATAGAAATTGTTAAATTTCAATTGCTCTACTATTTTAAATTTTATGAAAATATTTTATTTTGATTCAGCAGAAAAAAATGAATAGGCAAATGTTATTTGTTTGGATTTAGAAATAATAAAATATAAAATATTCTGCTCAATATAGATAGCTTCAACATGTCATATAACAAGCATTTCTTAGTATTAATCTTATTAATTCTAAATCCAAACATATAACATCTTATTGAGTTTTTTGTACTGAATCAAAACAACATATTTTCATAAAGTTTGAAACAATAATGTCATTGACATTTAATAATTTCTATGAAAAAATAGAGTTCATAATCGCGGATGCAATATATTCAGTCATTTAAGTTGTTCAATTTTTCCTTAACTAAACAGTAGTTGAATCGAAATAAAAACTATAAATTCGTAATCAGCTTCTCAAGCTCTATCAAATCAAATACAAAAGAAGGAGAAAAAAATCGACTCGATTTTTGCTTTCTCCATGTCTTATAAAATTTGATTTTAGGAAAAACACAAAACAAAATTCAATGTCGATTTTCTCCCAAATATTCATCTTTTTTCCTTTACATTTATGGTTTTGCTAGGTTTCTGATTATTGCGCATTCGATGAAATAGTTGTCTACATTCAGAAAATATCTTTTCTATGCCTGCAAGATGTTCATAATCAGATACGCATGAATAATGGACTTGTTGTTGAGTATACTTCTCTTTTATTACAAACGGAAGAAACGAAATAGCGAACGAAAGAAATAAAAAATTAAGATTAAACCATTTTGAAGATACTACTAAAAATAAGTGTGAAGTCGAAAATTTCGATTTCATCATAATGATCGTATTTTCAAATAAACTCGATTGGCTATCTCAAAGTAAAGTCGAAAGATATATTATACATGTTGACATGTGAATCTAACATGACCATATGTTAAAAGCAAGATAGCTACAAACAGATTAAATGCAAAGAGGGACTCATTTTTGAAAAAGAAAAGGTAACAAGTCAATTTCTTTTTTTAGATAGGGGGAGCCTCAAAATCATTCTTTTCGAGATCGAAACACTGTCAAAATAAAATTGTTTTTTTTTTGTAGATCGATAGAGGACACTTCAAAGTATATGTATTTTTATCCATGAAAAACAAAAAAATTGAAAATATTTTTGATTTTCATGTGCGAAAAGTGGAGTAAGGGTGTTCTTAAATAAAAATTCATTCATCATTTATTTTCATATGAAACTGAATTTAATAAACAAAAATAAATAAATGAATAATTCATAAAAATAATTTCCAACGACAACAAACTTCACTGATAACAAATGAGTCATCATTACACCTTTATATATTATTTAACTTTTTTCTTTCATATAATTTAGTCAGAGTATACCAATGAGTGTCTTTCAACGTTTATTCGGCAAGTCAAATAAAGAAGACCCAAAAAATATATCACCTAGTGAAGCTATTCAACACTTATCCAATGTTGAAGAAACTCTTAATAAAAAACAAGAACATTTAGAATCTCAAATTGAGGTTGAAAAAGGTAATGCATTACTTTATTCAAAACAAGGCAATAAACGTGCTGCTTTAATGGCTTTAAAACGAAAGAAAAAATATGAAAAAGCTTTAATTCAAATAGATGGAACTTTAACAACATTAGAAATTCAACGAGAAACTTTACAAAATGCATCCAGTAATATGGAAATTTTACATGTTATGAGACAAGGAGCTAATGCTTTAAAAAAAGCCAATCAAAACTTAGATATTGATGATGTTCATGATTTAAAGGATGAATTAGATGAACAACAACATATTGGTAAAGATTTATTTTATTTAGAATAAATTAGTTTTTGTGATTTTTGATTTTTAGCTGAAGAAATCGCAAATGCAATATCAACACGACCATCAGGAATGTCAGATTTATATGACGAAGCTGATTTAGAAAGAGAATTAAACGAATTAGCTGAAGAAGATATGCCGAATGTTAAATTATTACCAGATGTACCCAGAACAAATACAGTTAAGCAAAAGGAAGATTTATTACGAGAACTTGAACCATCACTTTCATAAAGTTCATTATTTTTCATTTACTGTAAATGAAATTTTTTTACAAATTTCCTGTTTTTTTATTATTCTTACAATACAATGAATTCTTTTGTTACTTTAAAAGATTTTTCTTGTGAAGACATGATATTGTAGAAAGAAAATAAACAGACAACTTTGTCTTTATCTTTGAAGAAATGTGATATTTTCAAACAATGACGTGTATCAAATAAATTACGTCACTCGACATTGCTCAACTTTATATTTTCTTTAGCAACATTATTGTTCAAAGGTCATGAATTTAATGAAGCAAGTTAACTTTGCTTTAGGGAATAAAAAATTTATTTTGATTGAATAAATGAAATCTACAATAATATTTAAATTTAGAGAAAGATCAATTATGAAATATAGAATTCAGTAACTAATGAATCATATAAGTATTCTATAAGCAATTTTACAAAGGAACAGTAAATCTTATGAATACATCATTGAATCTTTTCAAGAAATTTCTAATCTCCAATTAATTGATTTCATTATGGTTACGTCGATTCGATTTTGACAAATAATTACAATTGAATGTTCTTATTATAGATTTGTTTGTTTTGTTTCTCCGAACTTTTTTTTTGGGTTTTATGTAATTGTAAATATAATATTTGATTTTTTACTCTTAAAAAGCTCTGGTTGTGTTTTCTTACTCGTTTATTAAAATTTTTGTAATGTGCATCCTATACATAAACATCTCCCTTTCCTAACAGTGAATGAATAGTTCAATAGGCATGTTCATTTTGTGTTTTTCTAATAATTTCAACAATAAACAATTCGTTGACTTCATCTCAACACTTTTTTCGGCTTGATCTCTAACAATTGTTCTTTCGACTTTCAGTTTTAATTATTCTTTGGTCCGAGCAGCGGCAGTGTCAGAGATGAGCTCAGTCCGCTCGCAACTTAATTGAATCCTGCCTGTAATTTTCTTTGGATGAATAATTATAAAACAGCTTTCTTCTTATTTGAACAGGTACATCAACGCAATGATAGCTCTCAGAGCAATGTTGATATCACAGGTCGCTCTTAGGAGATGTGTTTTTGACATGAAGGGTATATGGGTATGGGTGTCGATGTTCTTTTTGGGATGTACACCCACGCTTAGTACGTAACCAGAATAAGTCGAGTGGTTGTGTTCAGTCCTAACAAATTTTAGGAAGGTGATGCAAGGTGATGCAGTGTTTCTTTTTCATAGAGAAAGAATACAACAGTGCATTTATCTTTATGAACAGGTTTTTTTAAATGATGTTTCATATATTTAGTGAAAAAAATATTAAAAAAAAAATAGAATATTTACTTTAATCAAATTCTACTACTTTGGTACGAATTAATGAAATTATTCATGAGTTTTTCGAAATTGATTTTAAAATCATGTTCGACTCCTAAAACACATAAAATGCTCAGTCAGATATCTGACTTTGTACACCGTGTCGTTGTTTTTTTAATCGGTTTCATCTTACGGAACGTTCTCTCACATGCAGTAGATAAAATCAGTGTAGTTATAGTAGCAACAACAAGAGACATTGTTGTTGAAAATACCTGCTTGTATGGTAATAATTCAACATAAACATTAACAATATTTCTTAATTTTAGGACGTGGATATTCAATAGTATCACGCTCGGGTCCTTTATCACTGGGTAGCATTTTAGCAATAAATTTATCTTATTTCACAGAATGACGAAAATATTTGTGTTGTCACTTAATAAGATTAGATATATTCGGATCAAATTAAATATCTCTCACTCAAATTAGAGAATTCAAAATATGAGCTATTGATGGCGTGCACGAACCGAAGTATTAGAATCTTAAGGTATTTACAATGTTTATCAGGTGAGTACACTTCAAAATTTCACCAGAGTATCTTTTTTTTTTCTTTTTTCGGGATGATGTGATAGACATCATCACGTTGCATAACAAACTGGGTGTTTCAAACTTGAAAAAAGAAAACCATTCTACGAATAATAAAGATTCGGGTGTATTTTCTTCTATGTTTGAAAATAATGGTGTCTTGAAATTTCCATAAAATTGATTTTCTAATTTCGAATAATGATTTCCTATGAAATTCGACGAGCTCTATCCTATAATCACGAAAAAAGAAAAGAATAAATTCTGCTGAAACTGAATTGCGAGTACCTTCATATATTATAAATATCTTAAAATTCGAAAACTCGGTTCATGCATGATATCAACAGCTCATATTTTTAATTTTTAATGTGACGGGGAGACATTTTAAACTGACACGAATACATCTAATCTTATTGACAGACAGCAAACACGCCTCCATTGTCAGAAAGAAAATATGAGTGTCTTGTATTTTATTCATTTCGTCGATCTCAAAAACAATTGCTTTTTTAAATAGCCGGTGATTGGGCTCAGCCCAACCTAGTCCTATCCTGGTTACGTCATTAGATACACATCAATTTAATCGTATAAAAATTCTCTGAAAAATTCATCGGTTTTTTCTATTTATTGATCTGAAATCTTTTTCGGTTTAAATCAACATTTTCTGAAAACAAGTACGAAATTCTAGATATCGTGGCGCGCTTTATAACGAAATCTTTCAATTTTCTCTGAAACAACCGAATAACAACAAAATGAACTTCAGAGTCATAAAAAGAAAAAAAAAGTAGAATTTTCTGTTGGAATCCTATCGAATGAAATTGGTGTGTGTGCCAATGCACTGTCTGTTCAGCTTGAAATATTCGAAAAAAAACAAACAAAATCAAGATACAGTCAAAACAGATAAAGTTTGCTTACGTTCGTTACTATCATGTAAAGTACCGTGATGAAATGAGATTCTTATTGTCAGAATAGCTTTTACTGTATAGCTTGACACGTTATGGCCGAGTTTGAGCTGTAGATAGCTTCAAATAAAACCGAAAAATTCAATGAAAGATGAATATGAGACTTTTCATTTTATTGACGAGCTTTTGGTAATGCTTTTGTCACGATCGAGTTAATAATAAAACAATTGTACTGTCAACGATATATATTACGTATATACGCTATTTGAATAGGTTCAATATCTAATTATTTATGAATGAAATCTGAATAATCCAATGGACAAGATTATTGAATCGTTGGACTTTGAGCCTATTCTAGTCTATATGTACATATATGAATCTGCGATTGCAAGATCTTTTTTAAAGTTAACCTAATGATGACGCAAGTACTTTGGAATTTTCTAAATAAAGAAATGAGAAGTCTCATACTCGTTCCTTATTTAATTTTGCGCTGATAGTCGTTAATTTCTGAACTGAGCAAATTGATAGATAAAATATCTACAATCCACAGACTTAGTTGACTGGAAAAATAGTTCATATGAGTTTCTTAGGTATTTTAACGTTCTTATAAGGATATTAAAGTGAAAAGAACTCTTCTATATTTTATTTCCAGTCAACCAATCTATGGTGCGAAAGCCTTGGCACATCAAATCAAGAGAAAGTATGAGCACCGATGTTCTAAATATTAAAGCGAGCAAGCTGGGTATGGTCCTTGATCAGCGATTTCGAGAATTTGGTTTTCTGTTGATGAAAACATGTCTTGGACATACTTCATATCGATTTCTCTCAGTCGTTGGCATATTCTTCCTTTCTATTGTTCGATTGTTTCGGCTTCCCAACCAATAGCATACACCTTTTCTTCCAAAATCTAGCAAAGCATTTCAACAGGAGGTGCCTGAGAACAGTTCTGAGGATTTTTTCTTTTGGCACCATATTGATTTGCTGCTCTTCCCAAAAGTCGGTTGCAACTTTTATGCCAACAGCTGAAAGAAATAGATATGAAGTGTGTACAAGACATGTTTTTGTCAATAGAAAACCAATTTCTCAAAATCGCTGATAAAGTACCATACACGGCTTGCTCGCTTTAATATTTAGAACACCTGTGCTCATAATTTCTTTTGATACGATGTGTCAAACTGTAAATCTATTGATAATGAAGATATAAGAAAAACAAGTTTGTGCCAAGACTTTCACACCATAAGTTCTTCTAAAAGAGGAAATTTCGCTGTATCCTTCGTATGGTAAAAACTCGGCTTCGAAGTTTTTCCAAAAAAACTGATTTTATGACGGGGGGGGGGGAGGCCTTAATATTCCTATTCTGAATGTTAGTTTTCATCAGTGCTAGTAAATAAGAATAAGATTTTTGTAAGTGTTGAATGTCTCTTGATATAAATTTGTGTGATAGCTGTCTACATTATAATTCTTATTTAAAGTATTCAGAATCCATGAAAAATTAAAATAACTTTTGATTGACGTAAATAGTATTTGTTCCAATGAATTGAGTATCATTCCGTGAATAATGAGTAACATGGCATGAAAATATTGTTGAGACATTATCTGTTTATATATTTTTTGCTCAGTTGTCGTGAAAGATCTTATATAAAAATATGACAGTGTACTACCAGCAATAATTTTAACGCGTCACAGACTCATCACTCAGTACTTGGACGTAAAAGATTGAAATTCGTTTCCATAAAAAAGCTACTTAACGCGACCCCTTTTGGAGTTAAAATTTGGAACTCGTATATATGCTCTTTAGTTTCATCAAAGTAATACAAATACGGAAAGTGAAAAATTTCTCGTACACTTCAGTTGTTATCCAACATAATTCATCATCAGCGTAAGGATCTATCTTATTTATTTCTGAATTTAGAATAGTAATCTCTTCTTTTTTTATGAGTGTCCAATTTTTTGTTCGCATTGTTGATATTCGCTGATTATTTTTTGGTGATTTTCGAATTTAGTTTTTGCTCATATAACATTTTAATTATTTTAAACATTGAATTAAATAAAAAACAAGATTGTTGTAAATATTTTTTATATCCACAGCAGCAGAGTTTGATACACTATCATATATCTCTGTCAACTCATAAACATTGATATTGATTTTTTTTCAGAGTTATAACTTGATGACTTCATCCTTTATGTATGGATCATATAGCTACTGCGACAAATTTTATTTTTGAGTAAACTGTCTTTAT